ACCTACTACAGCTAAGATAAATGAGGAAATACTTAAAGATGCTACAGAAGAGAAAAAAGAGGCTTTAGATAAATCCGTGCACTCCTGAACAGTGTGCAAAAGCAAACTGCTACAACCATGTTATTCTATTACCTGGTATCCCTTGGCTCAGGATTTTGTGCTTGGGACAAGCCATAAATGATGGAAAATTTCAACATAAACACAGGGGAAAACCAGGTACAACTACTGGATTTATACATGTTGAGTTTTGTATATATCACAAAATAATCAGTCTAAATTTCCTAGACTTAGACTTGATTTCTGAACATTAGAACATCACATACTCAAATGGTAGAAAATGACTAYAGCTAAAATGCTCCTGATGTTACACTGCATTATCAAGAGGATGGACCTAAATGAGGAAAATTTAAAAAAAATCAGTGCTTCCTACTACTGCTGCATGAATATAATGCTCTGGACAGAAAGCATAAATTCAGAAATATGAATTAGTGGAACTTAATCATGTGCCATATAAGCTTACCTAACAATTATTTCTCTACTTCCCAACTGAATGTCTTTCAATAAAGAAGAGTTTATCATTTAAAAAATAAATAAATAAATAAATAAAATAAAAATATTTTTAAAATACTGAATTGTAGGGCTGGGGCTATAGCTCAGTTGGTAGAGTGCTTGCCTCACATGCACAAGGCCCTGAGTTCAATCCCCAGCAACACACACACACACACACACACACACACAAACCTGAATTGTAGCTGGGTGTACATGCTTTTAATCTATGTAGCTTGAGAAGCTGAGGCGAGGAGGATCTTAGTTCAAAGCCAGTCTCAGCAATTTAGCTAGGTGCCAAGTAACTCAGTGAGACCCTGTCTCTAAATAAAATACCAAAAGGACTGGGGATATGGCAGAGTTGCTCAATGGTTAGTGCCCCTAGATTCACTTCCCAGTACCCCCACTCCACCCCACCAAAAAAATACTGAATTGTAGCTAGGTGTGGTGGTACATGCCTATGATCCCAGTAGCTCAGGAGCTGAGGCAGGAGAATGGGAAATTCAAAACCAATCTAGGCAACTTGGCAAGATCCTGTCTCAAAAATTAAAAGGGCTGGGATATAGCTCAGTGGTAAAGTGGCCCTGGGTTTGATCCCCAGTATCAAAAAACAAAACTGAATTGTTATGTGAATGAAAGCAAGATGCTGAGCTGCATGCACAGTATAATCCAATTTTAGGGAAAATACATGTGGAACTCTTATACCAAGGGTCACCTCCTCTTGGAAGTGGGGTTTCTGGACACACGTGGATCTCTTACCAAGGGCCACCTCTTGGGAGTGGGTTTCTGGAGGCTTTGTCAGGAATGCCGGCTTTGAGTCCTACACCGTACGCTTATACCAGGACCCCATGAGAATTTCCCACTCAGAATTACACTGCTCCCTCCCTCAGTGTCCCCCTGCACACAGCTGAGCGTCTCTTTCCCAGTCTTTAGGGCCCTCTCCACCCTCAGTCTTCACAAAGCCTAGCATTCAATTCTTTTAAATGTGGGTATCCTCACTGTCTGCAAATTATTTTATTATTTATTTATTTATGGTACTGGACATTGAAGCCAGAAGCACTATACCATGAGCTATACCCGGAGCCTTTTTTATTTGAGACAAGATCTCACTAAGTTGTGCAGGCTAGCTTTGAACTTGCCATCCTCCTATCTCAGCTCCCCAAGTTGCTGGGATTACCAGTGTGTTCCACTACATCTGTCTTGCATTTTACTTTAAAAAAGTAGAACCTTATAATTTAGTTCCTACATCTTGTAGCCTATGTTACACTTTCTTCATTCAAGAATGTGCAGATAGCATAAAACTTACTTTTTAGAGTAAATTCACATTTTGTACAGGTGAAACTTCCCACAAGGGAATCCTAAAATGTTTAGATCCAATTTATTCACAACTCTGACAGCAGAATGTTTATTTAAATTAGCTAACAGCTTTCAGTCCTCCCTACATAAATAACAGAAAATAAGAACAACAAAGAATAGTTAAAAGAACATATTAAATCCCAATTAAAGAAAAATGCAAATAACATTGTATTATCAATTTTATCCAGTGTAGGCATATTTTAAGCTTTATTTTATAAAACACTTAAGATTTTCTAATATCACAGCATATCAAAAGCAAAATGCACACACGGATTTTATACTACATGTAAAGTCCCAGATTTCCAATCCTGGGTAAGATGCCAAGTTGAAGATACATACACTGATAATTAAACTATAGATAGTGTTTTGTATAAAAATAAGTGAGTTTTTAACACCTACATGAAAAGAGGCTTTAATCAAAAGAGACTTAATTCCAAGGGTGTCTTTTTCCCAACAATTAATTCAATCAAGTCTGTGATCCCAAGCTCAGTGACAGGTATGCTCAAAGCACACAAGAGATGGTAGTCCACAGTGGTGCATCTTTGTATCTACCATATTTCTGGACAATCTCTAAATTCATTCAATTTTTAGAACTTATTTTGAAATCTAATGAAACCAAAGAACAGGGGCGCTCTGACTGCACTCTGAGGAATACAATCTGAATTATTCTGTCTGGGCACAAAGGTGCATTACCACCCTAGTGGTTTTAGTCTACCTCCCATGCCAGTTGATTCACAGAAGCATACTTCCTCCAGCTACAATTCAGATTAAGGAGCCCACAGACTTTTGCAAAAGAAAATTCTGAAATTCCAGCTTTAAAAAGCAGATAGTTCTATGAAGAAGGAACCATTTATGTATGAGAATACACATTCACGATTCATACCATAAATTTCCATTTCAAAAGTATTTTACAGACCCAGAGTCACAGGTTTACATAGAATGTTTTATACTATATGTCAGATAAATGACACAGAATAATCATAATAATCACAAAATTTTATAAAATTCAAGTTTCCAGTGATGTTTAAAAAAGAAGTTATATCTGTTCAGCTGATATATCCAGTTATGGTTATCTAGAAAATCCCAAGTTATGTGAAAAAAAAAAAAACTAAGAGACAACCCTGATACTTTCCGGCCTTTTAAATATGGATAGCTAAAAACTGTGCTGTTTTGGCTTTTGAGCTATTAGGTCAAGGAGTGTTATAGCTCTGAGCTACTCTTCAGATCATGTTTAGGTTTCACACAATCTTCAGCCTTGACACCACCATTTATCCAGATAAAAGAATGACCTATAGAAGTCATGGGCATGAGAAACACGACTTGGGGACAAAAATCACAATTAGAAGCTAGGGGAAAAAAAATGAATCTCAGCAAACACAATTTCTCTGAAATAGGAGAAGTGTTATATATATGAATATATATGTCAACACACCACAGAAGCATTTCTTTAGTTTTTTTGTTTTACTAAACAATCTGAAGTAAGCATTATAATCTGAGGTCCTTTAACTGGGTGTGGTGGTACACACCTGTAAATCCCAGTGTCTTGGGAGGCTAAGACAGAGTGGCAAGTTCAAGGCCAGCCTCAGCAACTTAGTGAAACACTATCTCAAAATAAAAGGGGCTGGGGATGTAGCTCAGTGATTAAGTGCCTCCCCGTTAAAAGGCAGGGAGGGGGTGAATCTGAGGGCCTTTAAAAAACAAAGGCCATAGGGCTGGGGATGTGGCTCAAGCGGTAGCTCGATCGCCAGGCATGCATGCGGCCCAGGTTTGATCCTCTGCACCGCATACAAAGATGTTTATCTGCCAAAAACTAAAAAATATTAAAATTTTCTCTCTCTTAAAAAAAAGGCCATAAACACAAAACAAGAAAATGCAGTTCGAAATAAGAATTGTAATGCATTCCACTGTCATATATATATAAATAAAGAAAGAAGAAAAGCAATAGCCTCCAAAAAAATTTAAAAAAAGAAAATGCAGTGCGGATCATTCTGAAGTTACACAGGGTCTCTTTTCCCTGTGCTTTGGGCATATCCAATCTCAACTTTGATCTCTACTTTTTTACAAAAAACAGAATTAAAAAAAAAATAATCTGTGCCAGGCACGGTGGTGCACACCTATAATCCTATCAGCTCAGGAGGCTGAGAAAGGAAGAATTCAAAGCCAGCCTTAGCAAAAGTGAGGTGCTACGCAACTCAGTGAGACCCTGACTCTAAACAAAATACAAACAGGGCTGGGGATGTGGCTCAATGGTCGAGTGCCCCTGAGTTCAATCCCTGGTACAAAAAGGAAAAAAAAAACCTGTATTGTCAGTTTTTTTTCCTTTTGGTATGGGGGACTGAACCCACAGATGCTTTACCACTGACCCCATCCCCAGCGTTTGTATTTTTTAAGATAGGTCTCACTAAATTACCCAGGCTTGGAATCCTCCTGCCTCAGTCTCCCAAAACACTGAAATTACAGGTATGCACCACCTTACCTTGCTAAATAAATATCTTGGTGGAAACTTTTCCATTTGCCTGAACACGGAGCCACTCTGTAAGCTACACTGAAGGAGTGGGAAGTCTCAAGTCACTGAATGCTGCCAGGTTCCTCAGTGTGTGTTTTGTTGTTATTAGTACTTTATTTAATATGACAAAAGACAAAAAAGCTTCAGCTGGAATTTCACACAATCCAAAATGTGTTGAAAAAAATTTTTTAACATGGTCTTTTAGATTTCCAAGTAAATGCTCCCCAACAAAATATTATAAAGCTGCTAGTCAGCAACTCAAATTAATCAGCTTTCAAATTACAAACTTGGGAGTGTCCAAATGTTTTTTATGAATCTGCTTCTGGTACCCTGTAAGGATGGAAGTGTCTGACACCCACACATGAGCTAGTTCCAAGAAAGAAGTCTTGTGACTAAAATTTTCTCTAAAACTAACTTCCCGACTCCTTTCTTTCCCCAAAATTGTTCATTACAGTTTAAAAAGGAGAAGTGCATGAGGCAGGGTGTTTTATATGGCACTGTACCCTTTAAAAAACCTAATATTCTGGTGAACTGGAATACTTCCCAACATCCTTGAACTCTGTCTTTACAGATCTTGTTTCTCCATGCTGCATAATGTACAGAGTGTTTTAATTCAAAAGACAAGCTGAAGTACTACAGCAACCATACATTCATCAGCTGATCCAGGGGATCGAAAGCTGTTAGCTAATGAATACATTCATTAAGGAATTACCATAATTTAAAAGGAAAGCATGGTATATGTTTTTCTAGTCTTTTTCTCATTTGTGCTTCAATTAGCATATGTTCTTTCTTCTTTTGATTTAGCCTAAGAGGTACCTTCATTTTTACACTGAGACCATAAGGAATACGATAATGTAACTTAACATAAATATAAATGACACACAAGCCACATTTAAGTATCACAAAACAGAATCCTCAGACCACGGAAGTTGTGCTCTCGGGGTTCACCCGGATGAGTCTGGATGTGCTCCTCAGGTCTTGGAGCTGCTTAGCAGGTTTCCCCACACCTTCTTCAAACCTCTTCTCCACCACAGGGAGGACTGTTTCGTACAGAAAGGACGCATTCTGTCTGATAAATGCCTTCTTCTCTGGATCCTGCTCACACCGCAGACTGTAATCCACATGCTGCACGGCAACCAGGATGACTTCCACCAGGCTCTCCAGGAGGACCATGTGCAGTTCTGGGAAGTACAGCTTCAGCGCCTCCTCTAGGAACCCCATGGTCTGCTTGGTGAAGGCCACCACTGTGTAGCTCAGGTTCACCCAGCAGTCGTCGCCGGTGTACTGCTCGAAATTACTGACCCCACAGCTTCTCATCTCCTCCTTGAGCTTCCCCAGAGCCTCAGGGGTCATCAGGTTCATCCTCCTCCACATCTCCTCAGAGTTTCGGTGCTTGGTGGCTTCGATGATGATCTCCTTGTAGCTGTGTAAGGCCCCCTGGATGTCTCTCACCAGCAGGGCATGGATGATGAAGGTGAGGTCCAGTCCGATGTCCCCGAGCTGCTGGCAGTGCTCCTTGGCCACCTTCACACACTCTGCAGCTGTGGAGAGGCTCTCCTTGCTGTCAAACACCTGCTTGCTGAAAGCATCCACGAACATGCCCATGGCTGACCTTGCCCAGACCACAAAGGCAGAGTAGCAGCCACTATCAGTGCCTGCAAAGTCTGTCTCGAACTCCTTCGCTGTCTCAAGAAGGCTGGTAAAGAAGACATGGCACAGCTTGTGAATGTAGAGCAGAGTGGCTCCTTCAATGCGAAGCTGGCGTATGGCAGTGTGCACCGCTGCTGCCCTGTTCCTCAGAAACAGCTCACAGGCTTTGGTGCACTGGCCAAGGCGGATCAGCTGAGAAACTGCCCTGCGAGTGGCCTTGGGACCACCTCTCAGTGACCGATCTGGGGAAAGCTCAAATACCAGCACCTCAGTTAACTGTCGAACCCGTTCGTCCACCTTGGCCCTGAGTTCTTTCACAGGAGGTGGGCTGGGCTTATCTTCCAGATAGTGGTTCAATTTGTCCAGCAGGTCCACTGCGCCCTCGAAGTCCCTCTGGGCAATACAGACATCCAGGTCTTCCGGCAACTCCTGGATCCACTCCATTGAGAGGTCCACCTTCTCCTCCTCCACCTCAGGAAGCGCTGGTTCTTCCTCATCGTCCTCCTCGAACGGGTTGCCAGCCTTGGGGGTTGCCTGCGGTGGCCCTCGAGGGGCAGCGGCGGCCTCCTGTTCCCGCCGTCTCTTCTCACCTAGGGCCCTTTTGGTCTCCTCCAACACTTCCAGCCATTCGCGCTTGATCTTGGCGTTTTCCGCCTGAAATATGCGGCTCTCGGGGAACATAAGTAGCTTGAACATGTCCTTCATGGGCGGGTTGTCCTTCACGTTGACCACAGCCAGACCGTCCAGCGGATACAGCGCGTTGTAGCGGTACATGCCGCGCCGCTGCGGCAGCCAGGTGGCCACGAGCAGACAGTCGTTCATAAGGAAGCCGTGCACGCGCTGCAGCTGTGCCATGTGGTCCGCCTCGTACTCCACCAGGTCCCCGTTGTACACCAGGTACTGCCCCGCCTCCAGCAGGTGCCTGCAGCCCTCCACCTTCTCCAGCAGCGTAGTGAGCGTGCGCTGCTTGCCCTCCTCGCCCGCGCCCTCGCGTGAGGCGCCCGCGGGCCCCGGCAGGAAGCCGGCCGGGCCGCGCCGGCGGTCCCGGGCCCCCGCGCCCGCCGTGTCCTCGGCCGCGGCGGCGGTGCCCGCGGCGGCGGCGGGCAGCAGCGCGAGAGGGATGCTCTCCAGGCTGCTCTTTTGCTCCGTCAGCAGGTGGCTGAGCTGATACATCTCGCTCTCCAGATAGGAGATCTCGCGCGCSGTCTCGATGAACTGCCGGTAGTTCTGATAGACGTTGCGCTTCAGGTTCTGCGCCGTCTCCTCCGCCAGCGCCTGGACCCGCTGCCTGTGCTCCTGCAGGTCGCGGTCGCCGTCCGACTGCTGCGACAGCTGCTTCACGTACAGCCGCGCCTCGAAGCCCCCCGACTCCAGCTGCCGCCGCAGGCGGCTGGCCCCGCTGTCCGACATGGTCGCTGCTCTCCCGCGTCGGCAGCCCGCAGTCTCCACCACTGGCCGCCGCCGCCACCGGGCCCCACCCGACCGCGGCCAAGCCTTGCAGCCAAGAGAGCGGGCGGGCCCGAGCCGAAGGCGCCTGCGCCGAGCCCTGCGCCCCGCATTGCGCCTGCGCGGGAGCCGATCGATGCACACTGCGCCTGTGCTGACCGAGCGCGGACAGCGCGCCTGCGCGGACGAGTCGTAGCGGAAGCAGACGCGGCCGGGAGCAGCTTGGGGGGGGGTGGCTGGGCGTGGCGGGTGGTGTGTGGTCCCAGTGCGGTGTAAGGGCGATACYGCGCTTCCCAAAGTTTTCCTGCGGCTTAGCCCGGGGATCCCGTGCGTGCGTGCGGCGGCGCGCGGCCTTTGGTCGCCAAGCCCCGGGTCTTGGCCCGGCGGCCCTGCGGGCCTGCGCTCGCGCCGCAGTCTGCCTTTGAGTTCTCGCGAGACCGGCGCGCGCGCGTCCCAGCCGGCTTCGTAAAGCGGGCGGCGTCCTGGCGGCGAGCAGTGCGATGGACGAGGACCTGGTGGTGGCGCTGCGGCTGCAGGAGGAGTGGGACGCGCGGGCCGCGCAGCGCGAAGCAGCCCGGGAGCCGCCGTCGCTGGTGGACGCGTCCTGGGAGCTGGTGGACCCTACCCCGGACCTGCAGGCCCTATTCGTGCAGTTCAACGACCGCTTCTTCTGGGGCCGGCTGGAGGCCGTGGAGGTCAAGTGGAGCGTGCGCATGACACTGTGAGTGCCCGCGCCGTCGCGAACGGCCCTCGGGGCTGTCGTTGACGCACTGCCGCGCGGGGGAGGCCAGGGGCCTGCCGCCCGGCCCCCCTCGGCGGCGGAGTCAGGGGCCTTCGGGGAGGACGCCCCGATCCCAGCGCCCTCCCCCACATACGCGGGTCCCAGGGACCTTCGGGATGGACGCCCTGACCCCAGCGCCCCCCC